ATTAATACTGGTACAAAAACAGTGTATTTGTGATTCTTAACCCTGGTAGAGGGTTAAGGTAGGAGAATATCCACTCCAACTTCTCAACATTCATAAAACCTAAATGATTACTATAATTTGCTTAATCTTTGAATCAACATAGGCTTAAGACTGAGTAAGAATTGTTGCTTTTGCTGGTGGTGATGATGATAACATCAACATTATTTCACAGTATTTTATCTACTAACAAGTGGGATATCCTAGTATTCATTTTTGCCATTCAAGTGGTAAACATCTCAGACACAATCTCACTCTTGGCTGCAACATCCATAACAACTATGCCAACACCCTTGGCCCTTCAGAAGCCTTGCTACTGGAAAGGCCAATGTTCCTAATTACAGCTGTGGAAGGAAAGACAAGCTTTTGGCTCTTCTTGATGTAGGTGCCAGGGACATCTCAATTCAGATGTCAACACTAGTAGGCACCTACAAAGTTCCACAGGTTTGTGTATTTGTTTGTCTGTCTGGTGAAGCCAATGGAGTGGGTATGCAGTTGATACAACAATATGTTCTCTATGGAATTCAAGAGGTTTTTTTTACTATGGGCATTGTAGGTGTTGTGACTACAGATTGGGACATTCAGTTGGGATGGAGCAAAAATCCAAAGAGACTTGGTCATCTTTTATGCTTTGGGAATTTTCTGCTGCACACTTGTGTAGGTGAGGAGAGGATCTGTGTCCAATCAAAGGGTCTTCTATGTAATAGGAAGTTGCAGCATTGATGGGAATATCATATTTCTATATCACCCAAATTCTAGCCCAACCCCCAGCTTAGGCTGGAAGTCCTACACCACTTCAGACAAATGGTTATCCAATCTCTTCTTAAAAACTTCCAGTGTTGGAACATTTACGACTTCTGGAGGCAAGTTGTTCCATTGATTAATTAATTCTAAGGGTCAGGAAATTTCTCCTTAGGTCTAAGTTGCTTCTCTCCTTGATTAGTTTCTATGCATTGGTTCTTGTCCTACCCTCAGGTGCTTTGGAGAATAGCTTGACTCCCGCTTCTTTATGGCAACCCCTGAAATATTGGAACATTGCTATCATGTCAACCATAGTCCTTCTTTTCATCATACTGGACATGGCCAGTTCCAGCAAACGTTCTTCATATGTTTTAGCCTCCAGTCCCCTCATCATTGTTGTTCTTCTCTGCATTCTTTCTGCAAATGTGAGTCCTAACACATTTTCTTCGGCATCCCTTGTTTTTCTCCTTAGACTTTGCCTCAGTCCAAATGTGTGGAAAACTGTCATCCTGGATTTGTCAAGTGGGCTCGTGAAAGAGAGCCAGTTTGCTGCTATGAGTGTGTTCCTTGTGCAGAGGAGACCATCTCCATTCAGGAAGGTGGGTGACACACACAAAAAGGGATTGGCAGCTGGAAGAGAATTGTTCCAGATTCTTTTCATGAAAGTGCAAGTTAAAAGACAGATTGAAGCTCAACTGTTTTCTTCTTTATTTTCAAACTGCAGAATTCTTATCCAAAGGAGGATTTGCAAAGAGATGGGATGGTGTGACAGATTGGGAAACCTTTAATACTTTCAGATAAAATATATCTAACGCTTTTTAGTTTGGATATGTCCTTCCACAATTAGCTATCTAGAAACATCTGAGTTCTTTGGAACTTAAGGAATTGTTTTAGGTCTACCTCCTGGAAGGACTATTGTAATGTGTTCTACATGGTTCTCCCACTGGGATTCATCTTCACTGAGAAGGTGTTATGAGTTCATAATAAGGTGGTGAGGACAGTTGTTGGGCACCTGATTTTATCCATGTTATCAGTAGCCATTCCAGATTATCTGCAAGACTAATTTCTCTGACAGCCAACTAGATTTCATAAGAAAGGTTATCCTCTGGATCCAGTGTATTAAGAAAAGTCATCTGACAGCACCCATTAGTTGATTAATTGATTCTTTATTTAACCCTAATAATATAAGAATATTCTTCACATTGCAAACAAAATCATTTAACTCATCTGACTTCCCCAATTTTTATAGACTGTTAGAAATATAGCTATTTTTTTTTAGAAAATGATATTCTTCCTATAATCTTTCTTTTTTAAAACAATATTATTTTTATTATACAATTTTCTTTGCTATCTATAAAATTTCCATATCCACAATGGCAGTGTACTGACTGGGTATAATCTCTTTAAAATACAAATAACAAATCAATAAACAAAATATTTCTATATTCTTTCTGAGGAGATGTTAAAAATGCACATTGGCAAATGCTGCTGGTATCAGCTGCTGCCCAAGAATGCATTGTATTTCCTGAAAGGTGAAAGGATAGAATATTAAAAAATATTTTTTTTCAGATACAGAAAAATGCACAAAGTGTCCAAATGATAAATATCCAAATGAGGACTGAGTCCAATGTATCCCCAAAATTCTAACTTTCCTGTCTTAGGAAGAATATCTGGGCATTGTGCTGGTTTCTTTTGCCCTACTTTTCCCCTAATTACAGGAATTGTTTTAATCATATTCAGTAAAAACCAAGAAACTCCCATTGTCAAAGCCAACAACCGAGACCTCTCCTACATCCTCTTGCTCTCCCTTCTGCTTTGTTTCTTGTCTCCTTTTCTCTTCATTGGTCAACCAAGGAAANTTATGGCCAAGAAAGACGAGATGCTCCTCATGAGCCAGAGGAAAAATTCCAGCCTTTAGGGTGATTTCCCCCTCCCCCATTTCAAACAAGGAGTGAGGTGGTCACTATCTTTTTCCCTGGACAGCCAGTGTCCTGGAGGACTTCTGTGGAGGAAAGCTATATAGTGTTAATCAGTCAGTTGAGAATTCAGAGTGGTACCAATACTCCAACTCTGTCAGAAAGGAACAGTCTGTTAAAAAGTAGATTCCTCATCAGAAGCCAGAAAGTCTGTTCAGCACCTCTTCTCAGAGAAAATGGGACTGGTGGCTAATACAGAGGAATCTAGGAAGACTATGGAACTTGATCTGGAGACTAGAAAATGCTGAGGAAAAAGTACATCAGAAGAAAGATCAGGTGCACCACCAGGTGCAATGAGAGCTTTTAAAGCTGGAACACCACATAATCAACACTAACCCTTCCAATACAACCCTTTGTCAGTCCTTGGGTTGCCAGGGGTGCCACTCAGATGGGGATCATCTCAGCTGGGCAGTGTGTCCATGCCCACATGCCATACCAGAAGATGCCATCTGGGCACTGTGCCAATGCCCACACATCACTCCAGGAGCCACCAGCTGGGAGGCACATCCATGTCTGTGACCCATGCTTGAAACCATGCCTGCCAGCATGTTGCCATCACCCCACAGCTGAGCAGTGTGAGTGATTCACTGGCCATGGATAACTTACCAGGCTGTGGGGCGGCCCTGGCATATTCCCCTGCTGTTGCACAGACTGTGCAGAGCATGTCATGGCTGGATGGGGGGTCGAACCTGCGCAGAGCATCCACAGCATGCATGGCCTGCTCAAGGGCTGCAACATCATCACTGAAGGAAACCACATGAGGGCTAAGGGTTTATAGGGGTTGGGGCCCAGGGGATGAAGTCATGGGGTGTGGAGCAGACGCTATTTAAATGGTGGAGGGATTAACCACTTTAGCACTGACTTTGTTTCCTGTTTGTCATCCTATACTGGTTGTTGCAGCTTCTTGGATAAAATTTGTCAGTTAAGCATCTTTGGCTCTGACTGAATTGCTTGCTGAATAATGGAATGTGACACCCATACTTTGGCGGAATGGAAATATCAGTTTCCAAAGAACCATGTAAAAGATGAGGTTGCGTTCCTCCAGAGTAACGTTGAAATTAATTGCCAAGGTTACAGAACTAAAGCCTAGGACTGGGATGGCGAATTTATGGCATGAGTGCCACAGGTGGAATGTGGAGCCATTTGTCAGGGCATGTAAGGCATTGCCCTGTTAGCTGGCTAGCGAGTTAAGCCTTTTTTAAAGGCATTTTTCGCTCTCCCGAGGCTCCAGAGACTTTATAGGATCCTGGGGAGGGCGAAAACAGCCTCCCTTGCCCCCCCGGAGGCCCTCCAGAGGCTTCAGGAGCTTCCCTGAAGGCTCCAGAATGCAAAAAACCAGACTATGGGCAAACAGGAAGTTTGGGAATGAACTTCCGGTTTGCTCATAGGGCCAGTTTAAACCCTCAGGGGCCTTCAGGAGGTGTCCCTGAGGGCTCCGGAGGACTAAAAACAAGCAAACTCATAGGATCGTTTTGAGTCCCCCAGAGTCTTCAGGGAAGTCTCCTGAAGGTCCCTGAAGGCTCCCGAGGACGGTTTGCTCATAGGGTCATTTTTTGTCCTCTGGACCCTTTAGGGAAGCCTCTGGAAGGCCCCTGAAGGCTCCAAAGGACTTAAACCAGCTCTATAAGCAAACCGGAAGTCCATTCCCTAACTTCTGGTTGGCCCATAGGACAGGTTTTTGGCTCCAAGCCTCCAAAGGGCTTCCTGGGGGCAGGGAAGGTTGTTTTCACTCTCCCCAGGCTCCTATAAAGCCTCTGGAGCCTGGGAAAGGCAAAAAAAGCATGCAAAAAATGGGGGGAGCACCTGTCATGTGCGCATGTGCATTGGAGGGGTCGTGCATTGCATTATGGGTACGTCACGCCAGCACACAACAACCCTGTGCTCCCCCCGCTTATGGCACACGAGCAAAAGAAAGTTTGCCATCCCTGGCCTAGGACATGGCTCATATGTTAGATATTGAATGCTTGTATGCTTAAGAAAAGGAAGACTGCTAAAAATTTGGGGGAAAAACATGAATATAAATGATAGTCATTTATTCTATTGTTTAATGATTATCTTGAATTTTGTTGTTTAATCTAATAATGTTCACATTATTATTTCCTTTAGTTTTAAATATCCTAAATTGTTAAACAGATGCAAAAGAATCATAAACAAGCAATATTTATTTTATTTTATTTTATTTCTGTAACTTTTCTATAAAAATTACAATGAATGAATAATGTCATGAGCCAAGAAAGAATTTCTTAATCAGTTCACAATTTTCATCTTTAGGTGTTCCTTAGTATTTAGATGTGGTTTCAAGATGATAATGTAGCATCTGGGAAAGAAGATGCAACCCAGGAGTCCAGCACTTGAGGCCAATATGGAGAAGACCTGCATGGCCACCAAATACTTTCCTTTGGTGCTCAGGTAGGTGGGCAGGAAAGAGACCCAGACACTGCAGAAGACCAGCATGCTGAAGGTGATCAACTTGGCTTCGTTGAAGGCCCCAGGCAGATTCCTGGCTAGGAAAGCTAATGTGAAACAAATGGCAGCTAGAAAACCCATGTAGCCAAGGGCCAAAAAAAACATGGTGACAGAGCCTTCATTGCACTGAAGGATGATCTCTCCTGGCTGGGTATGCAGGTCAGATTCAGGGTATGGAGGAGAAACTCCCAGCCAGATGGAACAGATTAAAATTTGGACAACAGAACAAGAAAGGATTATGGAGTTGGCCAAACTCTTTCCCAACCATCTCTTCATTCGATTTCCTGGTTTTGTGGCCAGGAAGGCCAGCACAACCATGATTGTTTTGGCCAACACAGAAGATACAGCTCCTGAGAAAACAATGTTAAATACCATTTGTCGGAGAAGACAGGTGACTTTCCTTGGTCGACCCAGAAATAAAAAAGAGGACAAGAAGCAGAGCAAGAGGGAAATCAGGAGGATATAGGAGAGGTCCCTGTTGTTGGCTTTGACAATGGGCGTTTCTAGATATTTAATGAATGTGATTAAAACGAAGCCTGTAGTTGCAAACAACAGTAAGGAAAAGGAGGCCAGGAAGATGCCCAGCTGTTCTTCATAGGACAGGAAGGATATTCTTTTCGGGATACACTGAACTCGGTTCTTGGTTGGATATTGATCATCAGGGCACCTGGTGCATTTTTCACTATCTGAGAAATCAGAAAGGAATATTTTTTTATAGTCTCTCCTTTTACATTTCCAGAAAAACTTTGGATGACAACTGATNAGATCTGGCTATCCCGTCAGGCCTGGGGGTAAAGACTATAATCTGCCCCCACCCGAATGATGAATGAATGTTGCTTTTATTCTTAATTATGTGTTATTACTATATGTCATTGTATGTCTTCCCTCCCTCCCAATTTGCTGTAAGCCGCCCTGAGTCCCCTCAGGGAAAAGGGCGGCCTATAAATAAAATCACACACACAAACTAGAGATACCCAGTTCCAGCAGCCATTCTTTATATGTTTTAGTCTCCAGTTCCATAATCATCTTTGTTGCTCTTCTCTGCACTTTTTCTAGAGTCTCAACATCTCTTTTACATTGTGGTGGCAAAACGATGCTGCATTCTAAATATGGTGTTACCAAGCCATTATAAAGTGGTATTAACACTTCACATGATCTTGATTCTATCCGTCTGTTTATGCAGCCTAGAACTGTGCTGGCTTTTTTGGCAGCTGCAGCACACTGCTGGCTCATATTTAAATGATTGCCCACTAGAACTCTGACATCCCTCTTACAGCTGCTACTCTTGAGCAAGGTACCACATATACTGTACCTGTACATTTTTTCTTGCCTAAAGAATTTCATTCACCATTTAATTTCACCATTTAATTTCATTTTGTTAGATAGTGCCCAATGTTCAAGTCTGTAAAGATTCTTCTGTATCTTAAGCCTATCTTCTGGAGTTTTGGCTATTCCTGCCAGCTTGGTGTCATCTGCAAATTTGATGAGTCCCCCATTTATCCCCTCATCCCCATCTATCACCCAGTCAGTGATGAGTATGTGAAGATTACTGGGCCTAAAACAGAGGCTTGGGGTTCCCCACTACATACTTCCCTCCATGTAGATGCAGTTCCATTGAGGACTACATTTTGAGTGTGGTGTTCAGCCAGTTACAAATCCATCTGGTGGTGATGCTGCCTAACCCACATGTTTCCATTTTATCAAGGTTATGGTCTACTTTATCAAATGCCTTACTGAAGTTCAAGTAGGACAATGTCCAATGCCCTTAGTCTACTTGAGGCCTGAGATGCCACACACTGATTTTTGAAACATGACACTTATTTAATTGGAATCTTGTTGATACACCAGAAATATATAGTGGGGGGGAGAGAGGTTCTAAAAAATTGATTATTTTAGTCATGAGTTTTAGGTAAAAGGTTCTGGGGGAGTGTCTAAATATTTTTCTGGGGTCATCCTGTTCAACCCAGTAGTAGAAACACTGCGAAAGGCAAACTTGGTAAACAACCAGGCATTTTGGAGGTGTTCTTGAAGTTCCAAAATGCTTGGCAAAGGAAAGAAATTGTTCAATTGTGTTGCAAACCACAAGTGCTGATCATACTGGATTGTCACAGATTAGTTTGACAACTAGGGGTATTTAGAGATTGTACATGGTTTAACATAGTCTGCTGCAAAGTAGGATTTGTTGTAGTTCTGGAATTAAGCAATTGCCCAGCTTTCCAAAATGCACCAAGCATTCAAATAAGTTTAAAGCTTGCACAGCTTAGTACTAAAAATGAAAAAAAAATCTTAAAGTTATTCATTTATTTTTGGTTAAATAAATTTGAAACTGACATTTTTACAATTTTCCCCTTAAGTATTGCTCAAGATGGAGTGATAAGCCAATTGAAACAATTGACCAATCATTGCAAGGGTGTAATTTTAAACCATCCAAATTAATGGAAAATTTGGTATCCAAATCTTCTGATATGGCTTTACGATCACAATGAACTGTCTTTGTTTTATTTAACAGAGCAATATAATTGTTTTTTATTACCTGTCTACCTTTACCTGTTGAATGGTTTGTTTGAATTCCACAGAAACCTTCCCACCAGGACTATTTCTTTCTCCTGAGTGAAAAGTGGGGTGGAAGAATTTCTGTGTCCTGTAGGACTATGATAGATTGAAAGAACTAGAAAGGAGTTGTTTTTTGTGTTACATTGTTAATATTGTATTTGCACCATGTTTTCTGTTTGTGGGTATCTGTGGAGATTTGTGTATGCATAAAAAAAGCAGTTTGCAAAACTTTTGAATTGTGTAGAAAAAATTATAAAATGATGTCTGACCCTTTAAAAAAGCTGAATCCTCTCTGGCCATAGCATTCAATCTGGTGTGTGAATTTTGTAGGTGCTTTGCGATTATAGAGAGCATAATATTACCAGAAGGTTAAGGGGTTTCTATTCTCTGCCATCTGATTGCTTGATTTCTGGTGTATCACATACACCAAATGTATATACTGTATCTTTCTGCACTCTATAAACAGACTTGGATCCTTAATAAATCCTTTTTGTTTTGCCTGCATTGCCTGGTGAGTCATATTTTCAGGCGAACAAAGAAGACCCTTTACAAATGTAAAAGTGTAGGAGATGAGCAGGCTGAGCTGCAAGATGGAGTTAAATGGGTCATCAGTTTGGAATCCCTGCCCAGTCACAAGAGACACATGGGAGACTTTGGGCCAGCCATTCTCTCTCTCTCAACCCAAATCACTTCACAAGGTTTTTGTGGGAAAAATAGGAGATGGAAGGGTACTGATTATGTTTACCACCTTATTTGTAAAAAAATAATAATAAAGTCAGTATACCAATAAATATGAGCCAGAAGCGTGCAGCAGCTGCCAAAAAGCCAACACAGTTCTAGGCTGCATAAACAGAGGGACAGAATCAAGATCACCTGAAGTCTTAATACCACTGAGCTGATGCTGCCTAGGAAAGGATCAGATCAGAATGGGGAAGCCTGTAACTGCCTAACAGGAGAGAAAGAAACTCAGGAAAGATCCTTCATAACTTTTTCAGGTTGTAAAAAGAATTGGTGGGGGAAATGTACTTTTAGAATTGCAAGATTCTCTTTTAGTCTTCCGCTAATGTTGAATCACCTTCTCTGATCATGTTTCTGATCATTAGTACAGTATGTCAGCCCTTAAGAGATAAAGAGCTTATTGAGAACTAGGTAGCTCAATTCAAAAGCAAATACCCTCACCCACGATCCAATACAGGACAAAGCCATTAAGCCAAAATGGGAATTATTGCATCACCCTCAGAGCAGTCCAAACGTCAACCAAACCTGGGAGTTCAGAGAAACTCCTAGGATTTGTACTTTGTCTATAGAGCCAGCTATGACATGGTCCCATGGGAGTCTGACAACAGCCAATAAAATACATGTTCTTGCACAGGAACAGGAAGATCAAGTGCAAAGCCCAAGACAAAGTATACCCCCCCCCTCATTCTCAACTCTATGTGATCAGCTATCCAGAACCCATGTGGTTGAGCTTCATCAATAAATTGATCTTCTTTCCAATCAGCCTCCAGCCTCCATTTTATTTCCAGTACCTACCTCCCA